GGTGGGGGGGGGGCGAGGGGAAGGGAAGGGCAGCTGCAGGGGGTGAAGACGGCAGTGCGCACGCTGCATGTCGGAAGGCACGGGGCAGCGGCGGGACAGGTGGCGCGACCTTGAGACATATTAGATCAAAGCATGTTGCATCTCACCTAGGCGATTGGCTGCCCATGTCCACCTCGGCCCGCGCTAGATCATGCAACCGATCTACAGGCCTAAATCTGTTTCAGGTGTTTGTATGTATGTGTTGGATGTGAATTGGATTGAAATCTCTTCATAGTACATCCTGAATATAGAGCCGCGTTGGCAGGCGTACTTGCAACAGTGCCATCGAGTGACCCAATCCACAGCGCCCCCATTCGTTCGATGCGAGGGCTGAACATGCTGCGTGGAACGTGCCGCCTGACTCTGCGTCATCGGCATGCGGTGCAGCAGCGCCTTGCAAACGCAGTTTTCTCGCCCTGGGCGCCTGCGCGCGGCGCAATGGTGCACGGAGCGGCGGGCTCGGCTGACAGCGCGGTGACAGACGTGATGGCGGCTTTGGAGCAGCAGATAGGACCACTCAATCAGGGGCCGATGGTGCGCCTTGCTCTGCACAACATCCTCCAGCGAACACGCTTGGCGAGGGCGTGAGCCTCAGCGGCCCGCCCGGCCCAGCCATGCAGGCTGGCCCCAAGCACGGTGCCCGAGCGGCCCGCACCGCCCTGCCCTCCAACCCATCAGCCTCGTCTCTCCGCACCACGCGTCCCCTTGGTGCGCCCCTCCCCCTGTGATCCGCTCCAGCTATAAAAAAAACGCACGAAACCCACCGTGCGCGTTTGAACTCGAACGCCAGGTCCCTGAGCCGCGGCCGCATGTCTTAGTCATCAGCGGCTCCAGCGGCGTGGGCAAGGACAGCGTTGTTGCCGAGTTGCGGCGCCTGCGGCCAGACCTTCACTTTGTAGTCACCGCCACATCCAGGTGGGGGCTGTTGGTGGGGTGGGGGAAAAAGGCAGGGGGCGCGCCGCGGCGGGCTGCCTTGGCGAAAGTCACTGGGAGTGGGATTCAGAGGAGGTCTTGGCGTGCCACGCATGTAGGGACATGGAAACGTGCATGAATGCATACTCGTGCTTCTAAGCACATGAGCGCATGCATGTGCGCAAGCACTCTCCCCCCCCCCACACACACACATCAACACACACACACATCAACACACACACACACACACACACACACATCAACACACACGCACACACATCAACACCCACACACACACACACACACACACACACACACACAGACTTCCAACTGCACCCGAACCCACCTCCAACCCTCAGCCAGCACTGCAGCACACTCAACACCCCCACCACCCTCTCCTCGCCACCCAACTTTTTTGCATACACACCCCTTTGGCCCTCCCCGCACCCTCCACCAACGCCTCGTGCGCTCGTCAGGGGCATGCGTCCCGGGGAGCAGCACGGCGTCGACTACTTCTTTGTGACTAAGGCCGAATTTGAGGAATGGATAGCTGCCGGGCAGCTGCTGGAGCACGCCGTGGTTTACGGGGAATACAAGGGCATCCCCAGGCAGCAGGTGTGATCTGTGCAGATCACATGCGAGATCCGGCATGAGATCTGCCCTGAGATCGAGATTTTCATAGCGGCGACTTGGGCGCATGAGTCGGACTATTGGCTTAGCTGGGAGGCGCTTTCCCCAGACGGCAGCCGCCCCGGGATGAGGGGCCCGCAGCAGCGGCCCTGCCCCCTGGCTCGCTGCGCCTCGCGAACCGCAACCCCGCGCCTCCCGCCACCGCGGCGTTGTGCTGTGGCCTTTGCAACTTGCAGGTGGAGGCGGCCCTGGCCCGCGGCACTGACGTGGTCATGCGGCTCGACGTGCAGGCGAGCGCTTGATTGGATCGCGAGTCGATCCAGAGGTTGCGTTTGAAAGCCGTTGCTGCCGGGCCCCTGGGGCAGTCGGGGCGTGCCATTTTGTCACTCTCCTGCATGAGCACCCACATAGCACCCTGGTGGCAGACCGCTCGTCCCCGCCGCTGCCGGCCGGCGGG